GGAGGGGGGACAGGGGTGGCTGGGGGTGGGTGGGGAAGGGGGCGATGGAGGGCTAGGGGGAGTTGGGGGGCAGGGTGTGGGGATATGGAGGGGGGGAGAGGGGGAGCAGTGATGGGGAGGGGGCGGCTGGCTGGGTGGGGCTGCGAGGGGGGAGTTAGAGCTGGCTTTGGGTGTGAGGGTGGGGGAAATGGGCTCTAGTGGTGCCAGGGGGTGGGTGGGTGCAGGGGGTCTGAGCTGAGGGCTCTGGTGGTACCAGGGGGGGTGGATGGGCGCAGGGGGTCTGGGCTGGGGGCCCTGGCGGTACCAGGGAGCTGGGTGGGTGCAGGGGGGTCTGTGATGGGGGCCCTGGCCGTGCCAGGGGGCCTGGGTGGGTGCAGGGGGGTCTGTGATGGGGGCCCTGGCGGTGCCAGGGGGTAGGTGGGTGCAGGGGATGGGTGCTTCAGGCCCTGACCCCTCCCTGCATTGCAGACCCCCGAGATGCTGGACTCCCCGCCGCCCGCTCAGAGCTCGGAGGGCCTGGTGGGGGCGCTCATGCATGTCATGCAGAAGCGGAGCAAAGTGATCCACTCCTCAGGTGAGTGGCCCCATCCCGCCTCGGCGGCGGGGGGTGGGTGCCGTGCCCCTCCTCCCCCACCCCCTGCCCCCTCCGCCACTCACCCTCCTCTTCCTCCCGCAGACGAAGGCGAGGACAACGGCGGGGACGAGGAGGACGATGACGAATGGGACGACTGAGCTCCGTCCCCAGCAAGAAAAGCTCCCCCCCTTGTGCACTGGGCGCTGTGCCCCATTCCCCTGGGTGATCCCCCAGCCCACCTGGCCCCTTAGCAATAAAGACAGCTCTCTGCTTGACATGCTGCCCCATCTTTTACCCAGAATTCCCCTCCCCTAAGCCCCCAGCTTCCCCTATCTGCGCCCATCACCCCCTCAAAACCCAGGGCTTGACAATACCCTGGTCTCCACTGACCTCTTTGGCATCAGAAACAAACCGATCTCCTTCCAACTTGGCTCCTTGCTTTGATCTCAGCCCGATTGAAAAAACAAGCCAAGTTGGAATCAAGCCCAGCACGGCTCTTCAGCGCAGATTTTGGGGCGGATTAAAACCCATTGGTTTGGGTCAATGTCTGAGTGACAGGACTGGAAGCCGGAGCGCTTGATCTGAGGCCGTGTCTACGCCCCATGTGTTCTGGTGGCACAGTTAGAGAAGATTTAGTGTTGACACTTTCAACGGCAATGGAAGGGGTCTGTAGTTGATCCATCTTGCCGGTAGCTAAGTCGGCGGAAGAATTCTTAGTTGTGTCTATACCTGTGTGTTAGGTCGGCTTGACGATGGTGACCTGGGGGGTGAATTTTGCACACCCCGAGCGCCATAGCTAGGTTGATCTCAATTTTGAGCATAGACCGGAGCAGCCACTCTAGACTAATGTCTTGTTATAATGGCGTCGGCGTCACCCGCAATATAGAACTTGCTCGTGAGTTTTGGCTTATTCATCTCAAGGCTTGGCAGAAACTGATTTTTGTTTGTTTTTTTATCATTTCGACGGAGCAGAGTTTGACTTTTATTTTTCAATCTTTTTGATGGCTCGTATCACTGTTTATTTTGAAGGTGGGAAATGATGCGGGTGTGTGGGGGGGGTCAGGGAATAATTATTTCATGAGGTTGAGTTCAAAAAGCGAAAGCTTTAAAACACAAAGTCTCTTGAAGATGGACGAAGTCAAGAGCATGATATGCATCCAAAGAGGTGGGCTGTAGTCCACGAAAGCTTATGCTCTAATAAATTTGTTAGTCTCTAAGGTGCCACAAGTACTCCTGTTCTTTTTGAAGTCAAGAGCCTCAGCTCAAACTCAGACATGGTCTCAAGTAGCCAGTCAAAGCGATTGTTACTCCTTTGATCTTTATTAAACAACTTTATCAACTGTTTCTCCAGTCGCTTTCATGGCAGCGATCCCAGCACACGGGGGATTTGCTCTGGGGCACAGAATTGGGGAATGGGGCCTTTCCTCTCTAGGTGTACCAGGCTTTGTATCCCACCCCAATAAAACCAGCTGGGAGGCCAGGGAGCGTGACCCCCCCCCCCAATCAGTCCTCGCCTTTCCCGCGTCAGTAAAACAACTCAGAGTGCCAACCCAGGATCCAAACCATTGGACCCCCAGTTTCCAAGGGGGCTTTTGTGTTTTGTCATTGGTGTCTGAATTTCACACCCCTTCCCCTGGCCTTGTCATTGATACCTAGGGGACGCCAACCCGACAGGCCTTGACGTTGGCACCTGGGTGATGCCAACCTGCCCCACCCAGCATTGACATTGGCGCCTGGGTGACGCCACCCCCCTCCTTGCAGCATTGACATTGGTGCCTGGGTGACGCCATCCTGCCCTGTGGCCTTGCCGTTAGTGCCAGGCAGTGACTCTGGTGCCAGAGCAAGGGGACCAGGGCAAACCAGGGGTGCTCAGTGATGGGAGAGCAGAATCATGGGGGGGGGAAGGGGCTACATGTTGTTTTAGGCTGAGGTGTCATTTCACGGATAGGGTGAGGATCCTTTGCCGTCCCCTCCACCCAGTATGTCGCCAGAAAGGCCCCTCAACTAAGCCACCAGGCGGCCTGTGGGGCAGACTGGGCTGAAACGGGTTAATTTGGTGCCTTGTGTGCCTTTTCTGCGAATGACTTTACCAGCATTGGAGGCCTTTATTTCCTAAGGGCTGACCTTTTAGGACTTACTTTAAATTTT